AAAATAGTATCACAATTAACGCAAGAAGCTCTTTGCTATAATGGATTTTTAAATATTAGCGACAATCATGAATTTCGGAAAAGTGAAAAATAGTGATTTGAAAATTTTAGTGAAGTATTGATAGCTCGAAAAAAAAGAAAAGAAAAGTTTTTCATAAAAGCAGGACAAAAACGATAATAATATCTGCAATTTTAACAGCAATAATTAGAAAAACAATTGAATTCGAACTCGTATCGATATTTGAGTTTATGTACGAAAAGAGAGGAAGAGGTTTTTCGTAATCACGACAAAATAAATGACAGTTTAAAATACTTTATTGTTGTTCACAAAATTTAAAGGTACATGAAAAATTGTCGAAAATTATGTAGCGTATTCATATAATTGCAGAAGTCTTGGATGCGTCCACATGTCCCCGTCAAATCTCACGTTCTAAGGGTTTGCTAAGACTATGTACTTTCATGACGTGTCTTTTGAGATGATTCTGATATCCGAATGATTTATGACAAATTAGACATTCAAAGGGTTTTTTTCGATCGTGTACTATGTTTTTGTGATTTTTGAGTTTACTTTTTTCTCCAAATGATTTGTGACAAATTTCACACTCAAATGGTTTGCTACGATTATGTACTGAATTTATGTGTTTATTGAGATTACTTTTTTGTCCAAATGATTTGTGACAAATATCACACTCAAAGGATTTGGAATGATCATGTAGTGTATTTATGTGAGATTCGAGGTTACCTTTTACTTCAAATGATTTTTGACAAATGTCACATTTGAAGGGTTTGCTACGATTATGTACCGTCCTAATGTGACGTTGGAGGTGACTTTTCAATCCAAACGATTTGTAACATATCTCACATTCAAAAGGTTTTCTCTTATCATGTACTGTACTTATGTGCTGTTTGCGGTTACCATTATTTCCAAATGATTTATGACAAATCTCACATTCAAAGGGTTTGCTACGATTGTGTACCGCCGTAATGTGACGTTGGAGGTGACTTTTCAATCCAAACGATTTATAACATATCTCACATTCAAAAGGTTTTCTCTTATCATGTACTGTACTTATGGGCTCTTTGCGGCTACCATTTTTTCCAAATGATTTATGACAAATGTCACATTCAAAGGATTGGCTCTGATTATGTACTGCATTTACATTGTTTTTGAGGCTGCATTCATATGGTCTAATGCTCTTATGAATCTGATCTTCTTTTTTCACAACTAATGGAGAACTTTCATACTCAGATTTACATACGGTTGTCAATATAGAGTTCAGTTTAGGTTTAACATTTTTGCACTCAAAATCCATGAATAGATTTTCATTTTCTAATTTGTCAACAGTTGAATAACTTTGATTCTCAGTTTTGCAGATTGTCGATAACAACTTAATTTCAGGTTTAACATCTTTACTCTCATAATCTATGAATATTTTTTCATCTGACTTTTCGGGTAAAGATACATTCTTATTTACGTGATTTGCCTAAAATTAAAACGGTATAATAGTTTTTAATAGTAGAAATACAGAAAAATCATCCAACTTACTGATACTGATGATTCATTAAACGCAAATGTTTCGAAATTTTTCGCTTCGCAAGATTCCACCGAATCGAAGTTATAATCGACGTCTGCATTTGACCAAGTTTCGCTTGGTTCTTCCTTGACTCTGAGTAAAAATCAAGCTTGATGAATCAATTGTTTAAATAAATATCATGTCTCGAAGAAAAATTGTTATACCTAACTGCGTCCTCTCTGCTTTCCATCCCTCACTTGATTGTAAGTATTGAGTATTCACTATGAATTGTTATGATGTATACTGAAAAAATATTTGAGGTTATGTTTTTCGAGTAGCCAGAACTATACCTCGATTTCAGCAATTCACAAACAATTCCTGACCGAGGAATTCCTCAACAGCGTCTGAATGCACTTCTCCTATATTGTCGAAGTGATCCCTTGATCGTGATAGCTCCTTTATGACACTTTTTCTCTCCACGTGCGACTGGTCACAGGTCACACGAAGTAATGTAGTACTCCGGTCTACGATATCATAGAGGGACTCACATGTCTTTCCAACTACACCAAAATTACAATGAAAATTTCATTCATATGCGAAACATTCACACACAAAAAAATATTATCGGTGAATCCACATCGATACAGTGTGTGATGGTATTACTTACGCGATATTAAGAATAAAGTTCAATTGGTCATTGGAGTAACTTGATAAAATATCTACGAAATTTGCGTCGGTGATTTAATTACGTATGGGAAATATTAAAATTGATAAACAATTTAATGTTTGACCATGAAAACAACTTTTATTCGCTGAACTTTTTTGCTATTACTTGTGAGTAAATGATAAATTTTAAAAATTCTTAGCTCAGCCTTGAGTGATTTGAGAAAAAAGTGCTAGAGAGTGTGTTCTCTAGAATTATTTCAAATTTTCCGAAAAAGTACTCCTTAAAAATCTAAGAATTTTTGGAGCTTGCTATTATAGAAAAAATATAACAATCAAAATCTCACAAAGTTTAATCCGAACTTTTAATATTAAAAAATGTACAGCAGTTTCTCACAATGTCAACATTTCGTTATTCATTATAAATGATTCGTCTTTATATTAAAGAGTAATCAATCCGAATAATTGATTTTCGTGAAGTATTTAATGTATTGCCTTCATGAAAAATAAATTGCCACAGACATTTTTCTCCGTTTATTTTATTCGTAAATAACCTTTGATTCGTCTAACCACCTGAATATAAAAAATTCATACCTTAATTAGAATTAATTTTTGAGTACAGTTCAAATGATTTTCAATAACGCAATTTTCATGAGTAATAATAAACAAGAACGTTGTAATATCCCAATTTGAAAAATTTACCAAACATAATTCGAAGTAAAACTTAATGTATATTTATCCAACAACTCGAGAAACGAGTATTTTCGTTTTAAAAATCCATAAACAAGGTTACGAACTCGATGTCGCAAGCAGATTTATATACCCTCCACGCAAGCTCGCGATATGCAGTTTTCAACTTTTGAAAAGCAGATTAAAACGAATTATCAATTTTTAGCTCGTCTGCAGAAAATTATTCGTCGCAGTAGCTGGCAGCAGCAGCAGCAGCGTACAAAATTAATTACCCGAACGCGAATCGCGCGAGCTCGGCGCAATTGCATATATAAGCGATTAAAGACCTCAAGAAAAAAAAAAGGAGGAAGAAGAAGGAAGGAAAAAGTGTCAGAGAAAAGAAAAACTTGCGCAGCAATAATCCGTAGGTTCGTTCCGCAGGGATCTCCGTCTAAATGAAATTCAATAACTCGCGGGCAATTTTGCCTAAAAACTTGAATATTTTCTCTTCCTCGGTCTCAATCTTCGTCCAAGTTTAAGAAGCTATACTTGGCACTGCATAGCTCGAGCGTATATGTATATAAGAAAGCTCGAGCTCGATCGATGAAATTAATGAAAAAAAGATGATGATGATCGCCTAGCCGTTGTACAGATTGCGCGCGTAGCAGTAGCAGCAGCAGCAGAGGAAGCAATTGCAATTTAGCGCGCGCGCGCTCTCTCTCTCGCGTTTCCAAAGACATTAAAAAGAAACGAGAGCACGATGACGACGAAGGGTGTAGTGGGAGAAAAAAATGCTCAAAGAAAGATAAAGCGAGCAATTTTTGTGCTGCTCCTCTCAAAGGGAAGAAAAGAATTAGCAAAGTACGAGGAGTACGAGAGAAGAAACGTGCTGCGAGCTGCCGGCGCGCGGGATATACACTCGTGCGTTATGTATAGTATATATGGAGTATCGTGCTCCGTGGCTGAGGGAGGTTCGCAGAGAAAAGGAGAACGCGGAGAGAGATATTTTCCCTTGCCGCGTCTGACGCGCGGAGGTTCGATGGCGCCTGCGAGGCAGGCAGCCTGGCGGGCGCCAAAAGACACTGCTGCTGCTGCACGACTGCATACCCGCTATATAGAAGGGTTCACTCGATGCCCTCAACGCCACCGCCGCAGCGGCACACGAGCGACCCTCTTATATACGTATGCGAATGTATATAATACGGCGAGCATCGATGTACATTTAAAGGCCGTCAGCCTGAATCGGCTCTTGTAACTTGCACACACACACGCGTGGATGTCAGCTCGTGAGCGTGTGTGCTAATTTCTGGAAAACATTTTTTTTTTTTTTTGCTTTCCTACCACCCTTCCACTGCAGATGTTTTTTGCATGTTCGGTGGCTGGTACGTATTATATATATATGGTACGACTCGACGTGGAAAATGAGGTTACTTTGCATTTTTAGGTCGATCGTTCGGGCCGCTGCCGCTGGCCTATGGCATGTAGCTATATCGCGCGCAACACAGGCCAGAGCAAAAGCAGCCCTCGTTTATTGGATTTTGCTCGAGATTGCAGCTCGCGATTTGATTTTCTCTATCCTTCTCTCACTCACTCAGCTGACTCAAACTCACTCTCGAGCTCGCTCAACTCTCTAAGCGGAGCAAAGTAAAAAGGGTAGCGAGAAAAAAAAACACTAGACATTTTTTCTACCTCCCCCCCCCCCCCCCCCCCNCCCCCCCCCCCCCCCCCCCCACCGGCCGGGGGTTGTTCGCTCGTATACCGAAACTTAATTGAGAAAATACCGGTGCAAGCGGGTGCCCGAGCGCGGGGGGTGGCTGCCTGGTAGTCGCACGATATAATTACAAGAAAATTATAGCGAGTCGACCTGGTGTGTTGGCATATCGCGCAAATATTGTAATGCACGGTATAAGGTCCACTTTTGGAATGCAATATAAAATCCTCTTTACAGGCAACTTTTCATAAAATTTCATCGGGATGTATTATGTTATGTCTCGTTCCTTTCTGTATACTTGCCAAAGCTTGAAAAACATGGTGACTGTGTATTATTATTTTTAACTTTATTAATCGATTTTCTAAAAGATTGTTTTATTTACACTTTTTCGAACTTATAATAGTAATAATAATAACAACGATAATAATAATGATAAATCTTGTAACGTAATACTCGGATTCGTTTTATGTCATAATAAAAACGCGACATCGTTCGAAAGGCCACATTACCTTGCTTCGCTCTCGTTCGCGGCACAAAACGAAATAAAACAGAAAAAAAAAAAATAAAACTGTATACAATCCCGTATTATATACTTTTCAATCGAGCGAAGTCGGCACTCGAACCGGCAAAGTGGCCGCGTTGATGGTCGATATTTTTCTCTCGACTCCGTTGGTTTTTTTATCGCCGCCGTTGTCGTAGTTGCCGTTTTTGTTGTCGCTGCCGGGACTGTCCAAAATTTTGGCCTTTTTAACCATGGTGCCGTTCTTGCCGGCCTGATGATAATGGAAACCGGCGATACCGCCCAGTATCATACCGGCCAGCATCAGGAAGTACTTGATGAAACTTGAGACAACAGATTTTTGTTTTTTTTTTTAATTACGAAAAAAATGAATCAATGAAAATACGGAAACTCACTTGACGGTTTTCACCGAGTACTGTCCCATCCGCACCTCCCTTATCATAAATTTGGGCAGCAGAACGCCCTCCTCGACCCAGGCCAGGGGTAACAGAGCAGTGGCAAAGGTCTTGAGAATCTTGACCTTTTCCACCGGATGAACGAACATGTTGAATTGCAGCCTCTTCTTGGCGTACAGCGGGGCACCGGCCAAGCCTTGAAAATCCACGAATATCGCGTGCTCCTCCTGTGCTCGCACGCAATCAAAAAAGTAAAAAGTAAAAATGAAAAAAAAAATATCGCAAGCGCCTCACCTCGGTCGGCTTCAAGCCGTCGACGGTCTTCCTGTAATCGTCGTGCACGAGCAGCATGTGCGGCAGCGATATGACCAGGGGCACGCCCACGCACTTGTGCAGATCCATCACGCCCGCCTTGGTGCAGTCGTCGGGCCCCTTGCAGTAGCACTTGAGCCGTGGATCGGTGCTCGCGTCCCCGAGCTCGACCGAGTAGCGATTCGTGGTAAGGCCCTTGACCTTGGTCTTCTTGCGATAGGTGAGGCTGAGGCTGCGACAGATGTCCGGGGCGAACGACACGATGTCCTCGTCCTCGTAGAGTTTCGGGTGGAAGACGTAGCCGTCGGTGCCGTTGAACTGGTCGCAGCGCTCGTCGTCCCACACGCTGATGTTGCTCTTGCCGTCGTACTCGACCACCTTGCCGACGTCGTTGAGGCGCTTCGAGCCGCGCAGCACTCGCATGCGCTTCAGCGAGGCCGTGTTGTTTTTCTGCGACGTAATTTATTTATTTTTTTTTTTTGTGTTTTCGAGAATCGAATCGAGTTCGCGAGTACTCACGGCTCCGAGGAGAGAAAATCGGTAGAGATCGGGCTCGTCGATCACCATCGCGCCCTCGGCTATCTCGCGCACCTTCGAGCACAGGGCGTTACCGGCAAAGTCCGTGACGCCTCGGCAGTCGATCGGCAGCCCGTCGAACATCATGTCCATGGCGCGCACCTTGATGAATATGCTCTTCGGAGCTTTGAATACGCTGTTGATGGCTTTCTCTGCGACGACGTGCGTGGAAAAAAAATCGATGCGGCTGCATAATTCAAGTTGTGTATAAGCGGGTCTACGCGCGTTTTCGCCCTCGCGTCAACTCGAATGACAACTCGACAGAAGACGATTCGCCCGCGGAATAACTCAAATGCGCGACTACTCGCCCTTGACGACTCGACATTAAAAAAAAAAAAAAAAACAATTTTATTAACAATCGAAGATTAGCAACAAAGTAATGTTACTTAAAACACTACATATAATATAATTTTCAACGGTATAATGGTAACTGAAACACGACATAAACGTAATAAAACACAATCAAAGTATGTTCAGTAGTGATAATCATAAACCGAAAACACAAAATCACCATGAACTTTTGAAAGTAACAACAAACGACAATGAAAAAATTAACTGAAACACGATATGTATTAAGGAACATAATCACTTTTTATACGAGCCGAAGGTAACGTTAAGAACAACATTGTTCAAGTACGCTAACACGTGTTTTTTCTTATAACCAGACACAACACTTGATAAACGCGAGTCAATTTCTGAGTAAATTCTTTTTCGAAAAGCTTTGTTAATTTTGCCGGAGTTGATGTTTCCGAGTCTGTTCTCCTGCATACCCTGTTCTACCTGTTTTTTGAGAGTAGGGAGAAATAGTAGGGGTACTCACTTAATACCGATACACAAGTAATACCGATCGCCAACAAAAATTAAATTTTTTCGAAGTCGAGCGATCAAAGGTCGACGCTTGACCCGGTGGGGGAGAATTGGCGCAACGATACTCACGGACGATGGGTAACGTGTGGGGCATATCCCGAACCGTGGCCATGTACGCCGACAGCATGAATATATGCGGCATCACGAGGATCTCGTCGCCGGTCAGTCCCTCGCTCATTTCCGGCACGAAGATAAATTTGTTCTTGACTGCGTACTCCACCGTGTCGTCCTCCTTGCGATCGACCAAGTCCACCTTTTCGTGCCACTCGCTGTCAAAAGCGTCAAGGATTTTACATTTGTGTATATATGCACTAATTTTTTCGAGAGAAATTAGCGACGACGACGACTCACTAGAAGAAGTACGGGCCGACCTGTTGGACGCGGGGCTTGGCGCCCTTCTCCACCTCCTCGTGATTCGTCACGTTGAACAGGTAGATCTTGAAATCCAGCGGGAACGGAAACTTGGACCAGATGCCGCGCACCTTTCCACCGGGTTTCAATGCGACTTGCTGCACGTTTACAGAGAAACTCGAATTAGATATATAGCAAAAATAGCGTGCGATTTACAAAGGCGATCGTCGTCGGGCCCAACTTGCCTTTTTGAAAGCGATCTTGAGTATGACGGGGAACAGGATGAAGCCGAATATAAAACCAAAGAGGAACATGCCGATCGCGTACCTTCCGAGCTTGTGGGCCAACTCCCTCTTCTCGTCCCTCGTGCCGTTCATGAGCTTACCGAACATATGCATCGGGCCCCTCATGATGCTGCCCAGAGCTTCTCTCCCCCTCTCTCGCCTTTTACTGTTTTCTCTTAACTCTTGTACGCCGCGAGTTTCTCGACTGCACACGGGGCCGCCAAACAACGCGAAACGACACGACTGCGATCGAGTCGAAGGAACGACGTCGACTAAAGTGCGTATCTCCTTGTCGACCGTCTTTGTCCACTCGGAAAAACGTTTTCACCTTAGCACCGAAAGTTCACGGAATGGTTCTAGCGCGAAAGAATGTAATAAGTAATGAAAGAGAAAAAAAAATCGATACGCGTTATGCCGTCGCGATTTCAAGGTGTATCGTCGGTATAAAGCCGTTTTAAAATTAATTTTCACTCTTCTTTTCATTGTAACCATTGCCAACTTTCGAAACCGCACAAAAGCTCTCGAGCGCGCGCTAAATGGATGTTTTATGCCGGGGGTTGTGTAGCCTCGCTCGCGTATAAGCGTTATAACACACACACGCATACACGTGTGCTATGTGCAGCTACGCTGAATTTTTCAATGACGGAATTCGACGCGATCGAGCGACGCACGGCTAATAAAAAATTCAAAGAAAAATTAACAAGTAGCCGAATTGCTTTGCAGTGCGCGAAACGCGTCGACGATAAGAGCTGGCCTCGTAAATCGGTACGCGTGCATCGCGTGTCATAAAAAAAACATTCGAAGTGCCAGATGTTATTTTTTTCAAACAGACATCATCGTCATCATCATTATTGCAGTACTCGCAGCGCCATTTAAATTAATTGATTGTTAAAGCTTCGCGCTCACGCGCGTGATTAAAACTCATCAAAGCGCAGACAAACACAGATACACAAAATACCTATACATTTATGCCTCGTTATACACACGAATGAATAATATCGTTATATATTACCTCGCGCGAACGTGCCCGAGGTATCGGTGTGTGTGTGTGTGTCTGTGTGTGTATTTAATACATTCTATAGCACTGCTGCTGCTGCTGCTGCTGCTGCACACTTGGGCAAACTGAGAGTGAACAAGGAGAGAGAGAGAGAGAGAACACAATTGCCTATGGATGTGGAAATTCTCATTTGGCCTCTTCATTATCTCGCGCGATATCAGGCACACACAGGTTGAGCTCACTAATTTTTTTTTTTGTTCATTCTGGAAACACAAAAAAGGCGAACGAGCGAGACTAGTTGAATATTAAACTCGGTGAACGATGTGTCGAAGACTTTGAGTGCTCGCGGTGTGTGCGTGTGTGGCTTTTTTTTTTTATACGTATAAAGAAAAGCAGCCGTCGTCGGGAGGTATATCGTTATAAAAAGTGTTCAAAAGAAAAAAAAAAGAAAGAAAGAAAGAAAGGATCGGAAAATGGAGTCGAAGGCGCGCAGTCTGCTATTGGTCGCAGCTATGTGAGTCGAAACATTCTTCGTCTTTTATACTTTTCCGCGTACATAGTTCTGTTAAAAAAAAAAAAAAAAAAACAATGAAAAAAAGAAAAGAAAAGGAAAGAAAGGAAAAAGTTGAGAACAAAAGTTTTTATAACTTTCTGACGATATATATTGATCGATGAACACGCGAGTGTTCGATATACTTTCCATCGAATTCCAATCGTTAATTCTTTCGTCTGTTTTAACGATAATTCGCGCAACTTTTTCCGGTAACTCGAGAGATACTTCCTCGACTGTGTGTGGGTGCTAAATCTCTCTGTGTATCCGTGTGTGTTAGCGTCACACGCACGTCACGCGTGCAGGTGACACATTATTACAGTAGCTGCCATCTCTATATCTGTGTATATCGTATTCCAGGTGTCGTCGTGCTTCTACATACGATAAATATTATTCTTTCATTTTCACAGATCACAGTTATGGTGCTGCTCCACGGGCGATGCCGAGTACGTGACGCTCGTACGAAGAGTAGGTGGAGCACCAGCACCACCGGCGGCAACGGCGACAGCAGGTGAATTGGAAATCTCGTTGTCGAGTAGTCGCGGCAGCGATTCGACGAACGCGTCATTAATTAGAAGCGAAATCGTGTCGCAGCGACAGCAGCACAGCAACGATAATAATATCGAGACGAGATTGGACCGCATCAGAGCCCGGGCCGCGAGCGACTCGTCGCGATGGAGACAGCGCGCCGAGCGCGCTCATCTGGAGAGGCAGCGACTCGCGCGCGAAATGGCCCTGTTGAGAGAGCAGGTGCAGCGGGCGTTGGCCAAGAAAAACAACGATGACGATGGTCGTCGCGGACGTCGTAGAAAAGCAGCGACGACGATCCACGTGAAGAGCAATTACAGCGGTGTGGAAAGGCTGCGGCGGGTGATAACCGTGCTGCGCGAAAAAGCTCCGATCGTCGGCGCGTACAGTCAATCGGCCGGCAGAAACATGGAGAGGCGCGCCGATCGTTTGGAAAGGAAGCTGCGCAAGATCGAGATTCGTATAAGCCGAGGCCGTCGTCGTTACAACAATTACAACGATGATAACGAGAGCAACAAATTGGCGGCACCGCAGCTGAGAATCTTGACCAAGCGTTCGATCGACGAGGCCGAGAGCAGCGCCCAGCGCGAACTGCGAGAAGCCGCGGCGGCCGCCGAGCAAGCCGAGGCCTGGGTGAAGATCATCACGGACGCGGCGGCCAAGGAGATGGAGCTGACGAGGACCAACTGCACCCAGGAGCAGTCGGACAGCGTCAAGAAGCTGCTGGAGACGGTGAGGAATCTGCAGAGACTCGCAGGTGAGCGTCGTTGAATTCATATATGGGTCAAAATAATACTTTTTTACAAAACCGTGCGCACGTATGTCACGGATCAGGAAGCCTCAATCGAACTTTTGAAACGGTCAAAATTTATTAAAATTTGACAAGGAATTCAAAAAAAATATTTTCAAATTTTTTTACCGAAACCATCGGGTTCTAGGAACCGTTTTTTGTTAAAAATAGTATTTTTCGGCCCTAGAAGCTATCGCCTTCAATTAAAAAATCCGAAAAAATTTGAGATAATGTATTTTGATGAGAAAAACAAGAAAAAATTTTTTTCAGATTTTTCGAGGCTCCGTATCGCTCTAAAAAAATTATTTTCGTTAAAAAAAGCGGTTTTTTGCTTCAAAAGGTGCGTTAGGTCATCTGAAAAAATCTGAAAAAAATTGAGGCAATGTTTTTCAATGCGATAAAAAACTGAAAAAATTTTCGTTTACTACATCGGCTCATACCGCCATATCTCGATTTTTGAAATTTTCAATAATTTTTTCTGAAGGCCTGAAGCACTCAAAAAATCTGAAAAAATTCAAGGTTGTTTGGATTGTTGAAAAGTATTTTTGTGAATTTTTTCAGATTTTTTAATAACTTCATGTCCTCAGAAAAAATATAGATCGAAAATGGACGTTTATACCGGAAGTGGGGGGTAGGAGGGGGGAGGGGGTCTAAAATTTTGTTTTTGGGACCTATTTACCATGTACTATAACATACCAAAAACGCGTCAAGATCGGTGACATACGTGCGCACGGTTTTGTAAAAAAGTATTATTTTGACCCATATATATAAGGCGCGGGAATATACTTAAGGTGTACGTGGTCGATCGGAGTCAAACGATAATTGCAAACTAATATCTTTCCTTTGGATCGGGCAAGTTGAATTGTCACTATGTACTTGCTGAGACTTTTTATTGACGATAGCAATTACTCGATTTTCCACGTGTACGCGGACATTGATGCGGGGTTCGGCATATGCGGAGTTTAAAAATAATTCTCTTGTTTCGCGGCGAGAACTTTCTACTGAAATATCAATGGGAAGTATGTATTTTGGAAGAGGTCAAATGGATAAGCGGAATGTCAATGGGTTGCTTCGGAAATGATACTTTAAAGAATTAATTGAATATTAATCTAGTGCTAGTATTTCAGTTAATCTAGGAGAGGCGAATAAAAGGTTTTTACAGAAACGACAAAATAAACATCAGTTTGAAATATTTTATTACTTTTAGTAAAATTGAAAAATATTTACGCAAAAAATTTTTTTTAATTACATAGTATGTTCATGTGATTGCAGAAATCTTATTTCGTCCAAATTTCTTCAGACAAATCATATGCTCCTAGAGTTAGCTTAGATTATGTACTTTCAAAGCGTGCCTTTGGAATTGAACCTGATATCCAAATGATTTCTGACAAATCTTACATTGAAAGGGTTTGATACGATTATGTATTGCATTTATGTGTTTACTGAGGTTACATTTTAATCCAAATGATTTGTGACAAATGTCACACTCGAAAGGTTTTTTCTTATCATGTACTATACTTATGTGCCTATTGAGTTTACCCTTTTCTCCAAATGATTTGTGACAAATGTCACACTCAAAGGGTTTGCTCTGATTATCACTACGATCATGTACTGCATTTAAGTGACGTTTAAGGTTGACTTTTTGTCCAAACGATTTGTGACAAATTTCACACTCGAAAGGTTTACTCTGATTATGAACAGTATTTATGTGCCTATTGAGTTTACCCTTTTCTCCAAATGATTTGTGACAAATGTCACACTCAAACGGTTTGCTCTGATTATGTACTGTGTTTATGTGAGTTTTAAGGGTACTTTTTTGTCCAAATGATTTCAGACAAATATGACATTCAAAGGGTTTGCTACGATCATGTACTTCATTTACGTGAGATTTGAGGGCACATTTATATACAAACGATTTGTGACAAACCTCACATTCAAATGGTTTGCTAAGATTATGTACTGTTCTTATGTGACGTTTGAGGCAACCTTTGTCTCCAAATGATTTGTGACAAATGTCGCACTCAAAGGGTTTGTTATGACCGACATGTACGTACATATGCGTTTTAAGTTTACACTGGAATTTAAATGATTTATGACAAATCGCACATACAAAGGGCTTGCTACAATCATGTACTACTTTTTTGTGCTTTTTGAATCTTCGCTGGCATTCAAATGATTTGTGACAAATTTCACATTCATGTGGTGTAATACTCTCATGTTTCGTATCGATATGTATTTTCATACTCGCTTTTCCTTTGTATACAGTTTTTTTATCAATTACTTCCACTTTCTTGGATTTGTCTTGCTTCAATCGGGGCTTTTCTTGAAAATGGCAAATATTATGAGCATCAAAATCTTTTTTTATTGAAATTATTCGATTTGTTTCATTGAAGTAATTTGTCTGAATTTCGTTTTGCATTTGATTAACTGGTGGATAACGTTGATACTCAGTTTTGCAGATGGTTGTTGATAGAGACGTCGGAGTAGGTTTAAGATCTTGGCATTCGAAATCAATGAGTATATTCTCAATTATTTCATTAGACTGATTTTCCTTTTCTATTTTCATAAATAGTGGATAACTTTGATACTCAGTTTTGCAAGTACTTGTGGATGGCGATTCGAGTTCAGTTTTAACATTTTTGCACTCAAAATTTACGAATATTTTTTCTTCAAATTTATCCTGCAACGCCACACCCTGACTTATACGATTAGTCTGAAATTGAAATTGTGTATTTTTTTACGATGTAAAAACAGAGCATAGATCAAATTATTGAACTTACCGATGTTTCACAAACTGTGTATGAATCAGAGCATTTGGTTTCGCAAGAGGCTACCGAATCAAAAATATTATCGTCCCCTGGATCTGGCGAAGTATCGTTCGGTTCTTCCTTAATTCTGCAGAATAATTAAGTCAAATTTGATGAAGCAATCGTTTAAAAAACAATACCTCAGCCTGAAGGAAAAATGTTATACCTAACTGCATCCTCTCTGCTTTCCATCATTCGCTTAATTATTATAAACGTATTCACTATGGACTTTTAAACCGAAGAAATATTTGAGGTTATGCACCTCGAGTAGCCAACACTGTATTTCGAATTCGCTAATTTGTAAACACTGGCTTACTGCAGGAATTCAGTTCAGCCGGCGACTGTACACTACTCGTACATATTAGCAAATTTGAACCTGTGATTATGGGAGCTACTTGTCGATACATTCCCCCTCTACCATAGGTTGGCCAAACGCAGTTTTGTACTGTGACACATACGTGGGATATATTGCTAAGAATATACACCGATACATTCATAATTGTATTACACTTGATATTGAAAAAATGTTATTCGTTCAGACTATGAAGCTGCAGCTGGTTGTAAAATACCTGATAACTTCGTAAAATATATTCCATTTTGAATACTGACGATTTGATTGTTTTCTCCGAAACGAACGTATTGTGATCCATCGTTGGCATTTAGTAGATGACGCCCCGTAAATCGAGCGCGAGTTTTTAAATTCTTCATAACGCGATCGAGTGCAAGAGTATGCTTTGTGCCAGATAGTAATATTCATCGAGACGAGATTTAAGCGTTTAATAAGCTCTGGCCCTCTGTACAGCGCTCCTTACTATTACATAGCAGCAGCAGCAGCAGCAGCAGCAGCCCCGGCATTCGAGATCCGCGATAGGCGCAACACAACAGCCCTTTAATGCCATATATTTCAAAGCTCCCTTATAAGATCGTTTTTATTTTTCTCAACGGCTCGACGTATAGATATATAGAGAGACTCGGCGCGCGCGCCTGGTATATATGCAAAAAGCAGACACGTTACAGATATATACGTATTACGTACACGCGCTTTCTTATCATTCGCCGGCTTGCTCGGACGCGTATATATATTTTTTTTTCCTCGCGCTCTCCTTCTTCTGTTTTCCTCCTTCATACCGCGCGACGTTCATTATATATCTTATGCGCGCGGCAGGCAGGCACTGGCAGCTATACAGTCTACTTTGCATTAGTGATTTTTCGTTACTGCGCTAGAGGTGCTTTATTTTTGTTTTCCTTTTTTTTTCTCTCTTTCTTTCTTACTCGTCGAGGGTTATATGGACGGATTTTTAAGACGTTTTCCTCGAAGACGCGTAATTTTTCGAGCCTTGTTAAATCATTCGCCGGAAAATTCATTTATCGCCCCGTAAACGTATTATATATACAACGTGTATACCTAAACGTTGCGCATGTATGTGCGGGCACTCGAAGCGCATACATACACACACACAAACACACACATCGAGTGTAACGACTTTCTAAGTATTTACAATTCTCGAGCACTGCTCGCACGCGTGGCTATGTGTATGTGTGTGTGGGTGTGTGTGTGTGTGTGTGTGTGTGCCTAGACGTTTTAAAAGTCAAGCAGATCGTAAAAGTATTTACGAAAAGCGACTCGTTAAACTTCTCACGAGGCTCTGCGTAGCTCGCTATGTGACTATGTGTGTGTGTGTATGTGTGTACTCGCCGCGCGCGCGGCAGAGTTAAATAAAATGAAGAGAAAGAGAGAGAGACAGGAGGTACAAAAAAAAAAGAGGCGAGCGCGCGCGAGAGGAGGAACGTTCGGTCGAATTAACCAAATGCCACTCTGACACGCTTCTATATAACCGAGAGTACAAGTGGTATGTGTATGGTAGTAGCAGCAGCAGTGGAATCGTCGTCTTTCTCTCTCAGGCACTTAGCGCGCGCGCGTACGTAGGATAGGAACGTTTTTGCTCCGGGAGCTTTGGTCTCTCTACTACGGCAGCGATGCTCGAGCAGAGCTAACCCCTTTTGCGGATCGAGGAGACATATCCTGCCTGCAAGAAACTCGTGCTGCTGCTGCTGACGACGGAGCGAGAGAGAGAGCTCGAGGAATATAGGTACAAAAAGCATCTTCTCTCCCGTGCGTGTGTGTGTGCCCTCGCCCCGATAAACAACGAACCTGACAAATGACGCACGGCTGCGCCGCAAATAGATATATATTCGTGTGTGTGAGAGAGAGAGCGAATGCGGATGAGGACGAAGGAGAGAAGGATAGGACGAGGGATATAGACGATCGAGAAAAAAAATCTGTTCCACGCGGCGGAGATCGAGCGACAGGTACACCTGCACCATGGTATACTCCGCGTCGACTTTTCGTGCGTCGATGAGATACATAGAGGCTCCTCGCACGCAGAGTGCAGAAATTTGCAGGGGGGGCGAATTGATTGTCGCAGTATACGTCCTCCTCCTCCTCCTCCTCCTCCGCGAACAAAAGTTTTCCGTAGCGTACTTGCATGTGCTTTACTTCGCCGAATTCCGTTGTTTGTGCACCGGGGATAGTGCTTGCGCGCCGCCGCCCGTCATGCACGGCACGTAATATCGATTCCCTGATTGAGCTTTCGCTTCTTGTATATACACACACACACACACACACACATGCTATATACATACAGGCAGTATTAGTAGTAGTAGTAGTAGTAGTAGTAGTAGTAGTAGTAGTAGTAGTAGTAGCAGTTCTGCGGTTCTTATTCTTTGAAACCGCACGAGTGGGGGAGTACATATAATAATGAATTTTTTTTTTGTCGAATCCAATAAAAATATGCGAAGTCATTGCGGGCGCTTAGACGACACTTACAATAATACACCTTAAACGTGTGTATGTACTTTTTACATACATACGACACATAGTGGTGTAACGACGAAAATTTGTGTATAAGAAGACGACAGTCATCGTCGCTAATGCACGCACGGACCCGCGCGCGCGTTTTATGTATAAAAGAAAATCAATTCCATCGCCGACGCCGCCGCCGGCCACTATATAACTCTGCGGAGATCTGTACTTTTTTTCGGTCGCGTCACGTGCGCAGCAGCTCTCGCAGTACAGTGACAGAGCTGAAATTCATCCATCGCCAGATCGAGTGCATTATACACGATCGAGACCGTACATATATATATAAACGCATTGCGTGCTATACATAATGACAGAAGTATAGCGAAGCCCACGCACATATCGTGCACTTCTCTCGAGCTGCTGCTACTGCTGCTGGTGTCATCAATCTTTAATACACGTCCACGTCCACGTACACATATATGCGCGCGAGGATCGCCCTTTTCTCTATTTCTCTCTCTTACTGTCTGTCTGTCTCTCTCTTCTTTTTTTCCATCGATTTTCTTCCGCTCGTTCGATTTCTCGATAATGTATAGTATCCGTGCCATATATATGTAAGCCTGCCAGCGCATGCCTTGCCTTGCCAGCCTGCGAATTGCGAACGTGATCGTAATGAAGCCCTTTTCTCTTTCGGCCCTGCGTCGAGTATAGTAAGAGAGAGAGCGAGCGTATTATAGAATTTTTTTTCTCGGAAAAGATATTGACTTTGGCGTTCGCCCGTGATGTATGGTATATATAAAGGGCCGTGAGCTTGCGCGGGCGCGCGCGGTCAGACTGGACATGTGGAAAATGAGCTTTTTTTCTTCTTCGGTCTCTCTCTCGCTTCTTTTCTTATCGCATAATGGATTCATTTTGCGTGCAGCGACTCGATTAAACCCTATATATATACCCGTTATATATATATCATGGATATATTGGCGCGGGACTCGTGTGATTACGTTAGACGTTGATGGTGTTTAACTTATGTATGTGTGTATGTGTGTGTGTATGTATAATGTATTATAATACAGTAGCTCCTCGACTGCGCTATACCCATAATACGGCTCTCTCCGCCGTACAATGGACTTTGTCGAAAACTTGGAGCTCTGACAATGCACTTTGATAATCTACGACGTGCATAGTAGATGTCAAGAGTGAGAGAGAGAGAGAGTCGAGGCTACTACTACCGCAGCTATATAGCGCTCTTTTGCCCCGAGCTTGCGCCTCGCGTAGTGTGTGCCTCAACGCCAAACGCCAAAGGATTATTATATATATACCCCTATACCTACCTACTTTTCATCTTTTTTTTTTTTTATCGTACACCAGGTTCTTTTCAACGCGCGTATGGCATAAAAAGTTTTTTTTTGCGCTCGCAAGAGAGTAAAAGAGCTGCAGGAATAAAAAAAAAAGATCCAATGCGGATCGTTTATACACACGCACACACGTACAGTAGATGCGTTATATAGTACGGAGCATTGGCTGCAGTCGAGGGGGTGAATCGCGCTATCGGGTCGGTCGAAAATTTTTACGAGAAAAAATCCGTCACACACGCGATGTATATAGCTATGTATGTATACGTATTACGTATACTCGATGTACAGACGCAGAGGTTTTCGAGAGAGCTCGAGGGGCTGCTTAGTCAACGGAAGTGACCTCATATTATATATAATATCGGGCGCCGATGTGCATGTATATTGGAGTGCGTGATTCATCGCGTCTCGCGCGAACTTTTCGAAATATATCGATATAAATGTACGCGATACGCGATCGTGGACTTAGCAAAAGTCGAGCTCGTGCGCGCGAGCGCGAATTAGAAATCTGTCCCATGCATAATGGCTCTTGTGTGCGGGCATAATAAAAATCAAATTATACACGCGAAAATCTCGTGTCGTGTATATCCAAGTGTTGAATTCGCACGCGAACTAATACTCTATATACCAGCCGTTATTATGCACAAAAGTAGCAATAATAATATCGACTGTAATAATAATAACACACACATACGTATAAAAGGACGTTGTGTGCGTGCGGTGCAGCAGTGCTTTCTGCGGGTGGCGCCGATGCAGTGCAGTTGGAGGTGTGCGGTCGTCGACCCTCTCTTCGCTAATACTACTACTACTACTTGGCGCGCTCGATGCACGTGCAATGGCATTCACACACACACCCACACACATATAAATAATCACAACTGCTGTAAAAGGTCATTATAAACAAAACTCGCGGGCTGCGCGGCGAGATCGCTATTTGCCTATTATGTGTGAGCGAACGCGGCCTGGACTCTCTCTTATACACTCTATAGTCTATAGCATTGCGTAATCATCATCATCATCGCGATCGCATCGATGTGCATCATGGATTATATACGTACTCCGCGCCAAAAACCAATACACACGTAACGTATAAAACATGGGCTGCTGCTACTATACACTTTGCTGAATGCGCACCGCGTGCTAAAATGCACGGGGCATGATTATTGCACATGCACACACA